AAAGATCAGGTAGGAATGGACAGGATTATAGTAGAGGCTCTACCTTACTAACATTATTATAAATGTGGTCTTATGTGAAACCCTTGCGTAAATAAAAAGAGTTTGAGTGAGAGAAGTAGAGTTGTTCCCAATCTTATCTTACGGTAAGAAATATTTTAAGTTTAGATAACCAATCCAAACTTACAATCTTAACGATCCATGGGGAAAGGATTAAGCAAGCTACAAAATCTAAGTTCGCAAAGTAAGCGAGCCCTACGAAAGTTTCTGGTATAGCTTAACCATTTTTAGATTTTTTTGGTAAGTATCAGAATCATTGCATCTCTTACTACCTAATGGGAGACGAGATTGTTTTAATCACCGTAACCTAAATCAAACTTTGAAAAAGCAATAAGGTTTTTGGACGCTTGTTGCCGATATCGAACTCCAGACATATGTACAGCTGTACAGATGATCGCGGCATATTTAATGTTGTGTAAAANACATCCACTATGAGACATTTCAAATATATTTTGTGTCCGGTATCCTTGTTAAAGTTTTGTCCGTTGTCATCGCTCCGTAAAGTGAACGACGATTGAAGAAGCCGTTGTTATTAAAACGAGACAGACAAATGGGTCCACAAATTTGTTTTATTTTTTTTCTTATAAACTTTCTTATTCTAAATCGACCGCTGATTCCATTTTTTTTTTTTCAGATGACCCCAGGCGAGCTGAAATTTGCGCTTTGCGTTGAAGCGGCCCTGAATCGGATCCCTGAACCTGAGTACCGGCAGCTGGTGGTGGAGATGTTAATGGTGTTATCCCTTGTAGTGGAGTACCACCCTGAACAGACTCTGGGAGACACTATTGATGTTGATGACTTGGTGTGGGAAGGCCACAATTTATATCTGAAAGATCAGGTAGGAATGGACAGGATTATAGTAGAGGCTTTTCCTTATTAGCATTATTATAAATGTGGCCTTATGTGCAACCCTCGTTGTAAGTAAGAAGAGTTTGAATGAGAGAAGTAGAGTTGTTCCCAATCTTATCTTACGGTAAGAAATATTTTAAGTTGAGATAACCAAACCAAATTGTTTTAATCACCGTAACCTAAATCAAACTTTGAAAAGCAAAAACGTTTTGGGACGCTTATGGCCGATATGGAACTCCAGACATATGTACAGCTGTACAGATGATCGCGGCATATTTAATGTTGTGTAAAAAGAAATAGCTTGTTCAGCAGTCAAAGTAATCCTTTCATACTTGCCGCTGCCTGCGAACAGGCTCTTCGCAGGGCCGCGCGAAGAGCCTGCTCCCAGGCTAACTTGCCGTAATAACTATATTTCCCCATTGTTATCAATTTGTCGTAGTTACCATTTATTTTCGATAAACGATAGAGGAAAAGTAGCAAGAGTAAACATAAAACGCGAGTTCTTGGGTGAACGCGCGAGTTTTCTCGCGTGATAGAACGTTCCCCTCAAAAGCACGCGTTAGAGGTTGTTTTTGTGTTGTATTTTTGTTTTGCTTTTGCGCCTACACCGCCAAAGAAACAAACTTATCCATTGGTCAGTGTTCATAGACTTCAAATTTATTTTATGTTGCAATTCTTGACGTTATATCTGGCAAGCCTTTTTTACAAACGGTAATAGTAAATGTTAATGTTTTCATTTGGTTATGGTACCCTTGTGTCGTGTGATTTCAGATGAATATCAAAGGTGATTCTACCACGTGTTGCGCGCGTCCCGCGAACGAGAAAATCAGCTGTGGTGGAGCGGCGGGAATCTGTCGATATTTTTACGACACTGCGCCGAGTGGAAGATTTGGTACCATGACTTACTTTTCAAGAGTTGTTGCTAAACGAGTCAGTCATCTACCCCACCAGAACGACTGCGTGGTTGCCTAGAAACGCGCCTTTAACTGAAAATAGATTTCGTAGAAAGGTTGCATAGAAACGTATCTTTAGGCGCAAAAGAACAAATGTAAAAGTCATCAGAGGTGAAGTTTTCTGGTCTGATCTCTCAGAGGTTTCTTGGGGTGGAATAAGACAAGCGCGCAAATAGAGAAGAAAAATGCTTTCAGTAAATCTTCTGCGAAGTTGGTGGGGACCACGCCAACACTATATCTCCACGAGAAGGTCCCTAGGTGGAGCTAAGCTGTAATGAATTACTTTATCAGTTCTGCAAAAATGCATGACACGTTTTAGAAGCTGAGTTTTACGAGATAAGGAAAATAATAGTAAGAAAAACTTGAAATTGTACAATAGTTAACATTTTATCTTAGTATAAATGATAAGTTGTCATCATGTTTAGTGAACCTAAGTTAGTTTTCTTGTTTCATCTTGTGTATTCCTCGGCTTAAGTTTTCTTTATCCTTTCAATCCAAGACCAGAATTTTAATTCTCCTATGTACTCCATACATTTCGTTGAAGATTAGTTCGGAGAATTTTGCAGTAAATCAAGACATCCTCAAGTTGATGGTTTTGTTTATTCTGATCACCCGTGTGCTTCACATTTTTTTTTTTATTTGGAGAAATCAGATGTTCGCTCTTGGATTGAAGGGTTTAATTAAAAATATCAATAAAACAGTCAAGAAAGAAAGGTTCTCTTATTTTTAGTTGTTGTATAAATTGAGCTAGCTATATGTAATTTATTTTCGCTTTAAAACATTGTATATAAATTAAGCCACATGGTGCTATGAAGTGACATAAACGTGACGCTGTTGAAGAGTTTTCTATTAAATTATGCTCGCGTGTGACACAAACAGAGTAAAATAAAGTTCCTAGTTATGAAGCCAAAAGATAGATGTGGGTTCACTGACTTGGGAAGAGGGAAATGA